GGCTCAGAGCCTGGAGCCTGTTTCGGATTCTGTGTCTCCCTCTCTCTGACCCTCCCCCATTCATGCTGTCTCTCTCTGTCTCAAAAATAAATAAACATTAAAAAAAAATTTTTTTTTTAAATATCTGCCCAATCAATTCAGAGTCTTTTGTATTTCTTCTATCACTCCAGTAGGTCAAAGTAGTTAAGCATTTGCTACCTAGGCTAACTTTAAGGACAAGAAAAGAGTGGAAATCAGAGGTAACATTTTAAAGATATATGATAAACAAAGTTGAGCATAGAAGTTTTGCAAAATTATAAACTATTACTGAAATGGTAAAGGGAACAAAAGTCTCTCAGGGAATGATAAAAAGTCACACGCTCAAGACTTACATATGAAAATGGGCGATAACACAACGGACCAGTTCAACTAACCCTCACTCCAGTTCACTTGAATAAACAAGCTAGAAAAAACTTTCTTTTTTTAAAAAGTAATTCCACAGTTAAGAATGTAATCTAGCTCATCCTTTCTTACATTACCAAAACCAGAGACCCTCATTTCCATCCTTTCTAAACTTCATCTCTCATTGTTCTTCCAACCAACTTATCTACTGTCTGACAAATTTAGTTTTGCTCTCTTCCTCTTTCACAAAACACTATTTCCTCTTTCTGGCTGATACATATTCATCATATTTGTTTTCAAACTTAAGTGTATTTGGATTTTCATTTAAACTTTATGAATTGTACAAAATAACCAAAAGGAAAAGAAATCCAACAATTCCATTCACAACAATAAATCTGGTTTATATTTGACAATGTTTCCTAGTTTTCTCTGAGAACAGAAAACTTCCTCTTTTTTGAATGTTTAATTATTTTTGAGAAAGAGAACATGTGTGTGCACGCAGGGGAGGGGCAGGGAGCGAGGGAGACAGAGGATCTGAAATGAGTTCTGCACTGACACAGTAAGCCTGAAGCGGGGCTCAAACTCACAAACCATGAGATCATGAGCCGAAGTCAGATGCTCAATCAACTGAGCCACCCAGGTGCCCCCAAAAAACATCCTTCTAATCCTCATGCACAATTACAATATAGGATATCAATATTTATATAGTTATTTAATAAGTATTTTTCTAAACTGCTATAACCTTCATAATTAAACTAAGGGGCTATACAATATTCCATCAAATAGAACTATACGCTATAACTACTACCACATTTTTACATTCCTGGCTAGTACCTAAAGTATGATAGGCAGGTGCTTAAAAAAAATATTTGTGCAAACTGATGCAGTCATTCTGGAAAACAGTATGAAGTTCCTAAAAAAATTAAAAACAGAACTACCCTATGACCCAGCAATTGCACTATTAGGTATTTATCCAAAGGATACAGAAATGCTGACTTGAAGGGGCACATGCACCCCAATGTTTATAGCTGCACTATCAACAATAGCCAAATTATGGAAAGAGCCCAAATGTCCACTGACTGATAAATGGATAGAGAAGATGTGGTATAGGGGTACCTGGGTGGCTCAGTTGGTTAAGCGACCAACTTTGGCTCAGGTCATGATCTCACAGTTTGTGAGTTCGAGCCCCGCGTCGGGCTCTGTGCTGACAGCTCAGAGCCTGGAGCCTGCTTCAGATTCTGTGTCTCCCTCTCTTTCTGTCCCTCCCCCACTCATGCTCTGTCTCTCTCTGTCTCAGAAATAAATTATAAAAAAAAAAAAAAAAAGATTTTTCTCTCTCTCCCTCTGCTCCTCTCCCCGGCTTGCACACTCATGCACACTCATACACACTCATACACACTCTCTAAAATAAAAACAATATAAAAAACTAAAAACTAAAAAAAAAAAAATCCCTGAAGTATATTATACTAAACGTAAGGTCTTTTTTCTATAATTCAGAATCAATTTTCTGAACCTCGATACCTTAAATACTGTCTGTAGTTGTTGAATGTAGAGCAGACATAGATAACATAGATGATTTGAATCTAGTAACCAATAACCAAAACCATCAGGGCCTTAGGCAAAATTAGAAGTTTACGAGTAAGTGATTCATTAATTCATTCAATGATATTTTCATAACTACTTATTCAGATCTGACACTATTCTAGAAGCTGGTGATAGACAATACTGATGAAAGCAATAGCCTCTGCCTTCAAGGAGTTTCCTAATTCTACTTTTCCACATCTTTCTATACTTTCTTTCCTTCTTTCTATAACTTTTATTCCACCTCTCATTGTCTTTTCTCCTATCAACCTTCCAGATTTCAAGCGCTGGCCTTCAACCTGCCCAAAGTTTCTGTACGATCTCCCCCCAAAAGCCCCATGCATAGACGTGACCCTTACTTCACTGTCCCTTTCCCCCATCTCCTTGAAAACTGGCACTCCTTCAGTATCAGCATTCTATGGAGATTCTGAAAGGAAAGAAACCTTATTTGTATATTTAACAATAGGGTGAGTTTCTTGCTTTCTTTTTTTTTTTTAATTTTTTTGAGAGCAAGCACGTACCAGAGGGGGAGAGGGACAGAGGGAGAGAGAGAGAATCCATACTCAGCGTGGAGCCCAATGTAAGTCTCGATTCCATGACTCTGGGATCATGACCCAAGCTGAAATCAAGAGTCAGATGTGCAACTGAGCCACCCAGGCATCCCAAACGTGACTTTTTAAAAATAAGCTTTTTAGGGGCACCTGGGTGGCTCAGCCAGTTGAGTGTCTAACTTTGACCCAGGTCATGATCTCATGGTTTGTGAGATCACACCGCATTTGTGAGTTCGAGCTCTGCATCGGGCTCGCTGCTATCAGTGCAAAGACTGCTTCAGATCCTCAATCTCCCTCTCTCTTTGCCCCTTCCCCGTTCATGCTCTCTATCAGAAATAAACATTAAAAAAAAAAAACGTTTCATAAAATAAAAAAAAAATAAGCATTTTAACCCAAGTTAATGGACTATGTGAGGTAAATTCCTTGAGCAAGGGGGGGGGGGCTTACTTATTTCCTAATTTGGAGCCACCTTCTCTCTCAATATCTATTCCCAAGCAAAAACCAACACACACACACACACACACACACACACACACACACACACAAATCAAAACAAAACTAGGTAATTTGAGAGCTCCCTTTTGGACGATTATTAACCTTAGATGTATTGTAACAACAACGAAAAACTTAAGCTGGGAATAGACATTTATTAAGGGGATATTATTAAAGGGAAAGGATCTTATTACTCATCCTAGACTAATCCCTCATTTTAGAGTCAAAGAAACTAAATACCTAGCTAGTTAGAGGCAGACAAAGCAAGAATTCTTTTTTTTTTAATATTTATTCATGTTTGAGAGACAGAGAGACAGAGCACAAGTGGGGGAGGGGCAGAGAGAGAGGGAGACACAGAATCCGAAGCAGGCTCCAGGGTCTGAGCTATGAGCCAGAGCCCAATGTGGGGCTCGAACTCACGAACCGCGAGATCATGACCTGAGCCGAAGTCAGAGGCTTAACCGACTGAGCCACCCAGGCGCCCCAAGAATTCAAGTTCTTTAATACAGTATTCTTTACTTGAGGATGATGCCTCCAATAATGGTCAGTAATAGTGACCCAGGGCACATCATAAGACATCTTACAATAAGGTGTTTTGTTTTTGTTTTTAATTTTTTTAATGTTTATTTTTATTTTTGAGAGACAGAGCATAAGCAGGGAGGGGCAGAGAGAGAGGGAGACACAGAATCTGAAGCAGGTTCCAGGCTCTGAGCTGTTGGCACAGAGCCTGATGTGGGGCTTGAACTCACAAACAATGAGATCATGACCTGAGCCGAAGTCGGACGCTTAATTGACTGAGCCACTCAGGCTCCCCCTAAGGTTTTTTGTATCACTTGTTACTCGTCATCATTATGTGGTGAATATATGCCAAATTCTGGGTTTTTTTTAAATATATAAGTTATTGTCAAATTGGTTTCCATACAACACCTAGTGCTCACCCCAACAGGTGCCCTCCTGAATGTCCATCACCCACTTTCCTCTCACTCCACCCCCCCCATCAACCCTCAGTTTGTTCTCAGTATTTAAGAGTCTCTTATGGTTTGCCTCCTTCCCTCTCTGTAACTTTTTTTCCCCCCTTCACCTCCCCCATGGTCTTCTGTTTAGTTTCTCAGGATTCACATATGAGTGAAAACGTATGGTATCTGTCTTTCTCTACTGACTTATTTTACTCAGCATAATACTCTCCAGTTCCATCTATGTTGCTACAAATGGCCAGATTTCATTCTTTCTCATTGCCACGTAGTATTCCATTGTTTATATAAACCACATCCTCGTTATCCATTCGTCAGTTCATGGACATTTAGGCTCCTTCCGTAATTTGGCTATTGTTGAAAGTGCTACTATAAACATTGGGGTGCAAGTGCCCCTGTGCATCAGCACTCCTGTATCCTCTGGGTAAATTCCTAGCAGCGCTATTGTTGGGTCATACAGTAGATCTATTTTTAATTTTTTGAGGAACCTCCATGCTGTTTTCCAGAGAGGCTGCACCAGTTTGCATTCCCACCAATAGTGAGAGAGGGTTCCCATTTCTCCACATCCTCTCCAGCATCTATAGTCTCCTGATTTGTTCATTTTAGCCACTCTGACCAGTGTGAGGTGATATCTGGGTGTGGTTTTGATTTGTATTTCCCTGATGAGGAGCATCTTTTCATGTGCCTGTCGGCCATCTGGATGTCTTCTTTGGAAAAGTATCTATTCATGTCTTCTGCCCATTTCTTCACTGGATTATTTGTTTTTCGGGTGTGGAGTTCGGTGAGTTCTTTATAGATTTTGGATACTAGCCCTTTATCCAATATGTCATTTGCAAATATCTTTTCCCATTCTGTCAGTTGCCTTTTAGTTTTGTTGAATGTTTCCTTTGCATTATTGAAGCCTTTTATCTTGATGAGGTCCCAGACCAAATTCTGTTAAGTGACTGGTAAATTAACTATACAGTGTTCAACACAGAAAACAGCTAATAGAAACAAATCAAATGGGAAAAAAAAAACTACTTACACATTACTGAAGGTCTTTCTCTGAAAATGATGCCAAATCTCAATTTGTGAATTCTGCAAGCCTCAGAATTTGAGAAAGACTGTGTTGAAAAGAATAAAAATTGAAGTTAAATTAATCCCATTGAAATATTTCCTCCTAAGATGCCCATGGATACTTAAAGTTCTGTTAATAATGATAATTTTCAAAGAAAACTATTGCATATATTATTTTCATATGCTTAAGACCCAATAAGTAATTTTCAAACACCAGCTCTTCCACAAACACCTTTCAGTCAAGAATAGCAACACACTTAGAAACCAAAAAAATCAGATAATGACAGACAGAAAAGAAAAGAATAAATAATGGCACAAAAGAGTAAATGTGTACAGGAACAAGGAGTATAAGAAAGAAAAAAAGGCCTATTTCTGGGGCATAATGTATAGTATCTCACTCCTACAATAAAATATACATATTTAAGACAATTCATAGACTCAAGTAATTTCCATTAGCAAATTTCAAAGAAGTCAATACTTGAAAGTATTTCCCCTTTATTACAGATTTTTTTTTTTTTTTTTGGAGAGAGTGTGCAGGAGGGGCAGCAAGAGGGAGAGAGAGAAAATCCCAAGTAGGCTCTGCACTGGCAGAGTAGATGCAGGGCTCAAACTCACAAACCTGAGCTGAGATCAAGAGTCGGATGCTTAACCAACTGAGCCAGCCAGGTGCACCTGTTTTCTTAATTTCTATGATAGTTCATTATTAGTGTATGGAAACACAATAGATTTGTTATATTAACTTTGTATCTTGCAACTTTACTGAATTCATACTCAGCGTGATATGTCAATGTACTTCCTGCAACTATATATGTTAAATTATCTTTCAGCACAGACGCCTATAAATTGCTATTATTTTTAGTGAAACCTTTTATTTTCAGATAATTATAGAGTCACATTCAGTTGAAAGAAATAATAAAGATCTGACATATCTTTCATTCAGTTTCTCCCAATGACAATATCTTACCAAACTATAGTACAATATCACAGTTGGGATACTGCATTGATGATTTCACCTATCTTATTTTGATTTACTCAGTTTTACTTGTATTCATGTGGGTTTATGTGCGTATACATGGTTCTATGTAGTTTTATCACATCCGCAGCTTCATGTATTATCATGCACGGTTAAGACAGAACAGTTCTATCACAAGGATTCCTAGTGTTGACCTTTCATAAGTATGCCCACCTTCCTCCCACTCCCCTCAACCACCATCCCTAACCCCTGTGGAGTCGTATATTTTTTACTGGAGAGCACATATATAATCAATGAAAGGAAAAGATAATGTCTCCAAAAGCAATACCCCCTTACCAAGTAGGTGCAGAAACAAACCAAAGAAAACATGTAAGTATATACGGTGTGAAAGAGACTTGTTGGTCACATTTACTTAGCCATCTGGAACATTATATTTGAACATAATTATACAAACATAAATGCACAGACATATGAACACACACAAAAATATAAGAAAGACAGAGTGATCTCTACTAACATACAATGAAGACCAATCTTAGTTCTAAGATAAATTTTCCTATTACAGATAAATTCTAGACTAGAATTGAGTGGACAATATAAAACAGTGCTACAGGACAACTACAACGGGGATTGCTAGGTGTATAAGAACATAAAAAGGAGACTTTTACTGTGTTCAGGTGCAACCCTGCCCTTCACCCAGATATTAGTTGGAACTAAGTAGCTGGTATTCCCTTGGGAATGTGGATCTGGTCTGGAGAGAACAGGAAGAGACTAGAAATTATTAAGTGTTAACGTAGATACCTCTTGTCTCTCCAGACAGACTATAAACAATTCAAAGGCAGGAACCTTGTCTTTTATTTCTTTTGATTCTCTCATATAAATTAAAGTAGTTATAAACACATGATAGGTATGTAAATATTTATTAAATGAATGAGGTCAGCACAGTAGAAAAAAATGGGAAAGTTAAGACACCACAGAATCATAGGATTTTATAGCCAGGAAAGGTCCTTAGAGATTTAGGTGCAATTCTTCTTTCTGTAACTGAATTGAGACATAAAAGTTAAATCACTTGTCCAAGACTAAATACATTAATTTATGACTCAATTCTCATGACTTTTAATTTGGAGTTCTACTACATCATGCTTCAAGAATGGTAGAGAAGAAAGTAATTCCCTGGGGAGATCTAAGTGTTAACTAGTGAACATGGGCTTTGATGGACAAAAAAAAAATTAATAGGTAAGTGGGAGAAGTTAAGCTGGTTGACGAATATATGGCAAACAGCAGGTAAGAAAAAGAACAGTGACCAACAACATGAGAAAAGGAAGAAAGGTGAACAATGAGATACAGCAAGAAAATAAAAAAGATGAGGAGGGAAAGGTATAAAAAGGATAACAGTTAAAAAGTGCAGAAATGGGAAGGAGAAAAGTAGGAAATGGTTAAAAGGGATGAAGTGGGAGCCTGGCTGGCTTAGTCCACGGAGCATGAAACTCTTGATCTCAGGGTTGTGACTTCAAACCCTACACTGGGTGTAGAGATTACTTAAAGATAAAATCTTAAAAAAAAAAATAAATAAAGGGATGAGGAAATGTTATCTGGAGAATTTGTAATGTTATTTGCATTCTTTTAACATAGAGAAATGATGAAATTTACCACTCCTAGAGTGAAATTAGATTCCATATAAACTAATGGTGACAACAAATACCAACTCCCAATCCTGTACTGAAAATCTGCTCATATTCACCGCTGTGTATGAAATGCAAATACATGGTACACACCAGTCTAGAGTGAAAGGGAAGTCTGGTTTTAAATTTTGTCTCTTGCACCATCTTTTTTTTTACTTAATTTCCCATATGCATACCCCTCCCACATCTCAAAGTTCTTGCTTCCTCTTTAAATTATCATAAGTGTTTTTTAAGCTAGTGTCTGAAGTGAACTGTTGCCTCCATTGGAATATTCCCAAAAGTTTCTCTCAAACAATACAGGATCTGGTTTTTCTTCTCTATTTTCAGAGCCATACACAAGCTATTTGAAACAGCACTCACTGGCATGATTAAAAATACATTTATATAAAACAAGCAATCTAAAATTCAGCTATATAAATATATAATAAAACTGAAATCAATTGAATAAAATATCACTTTTCTTTTAAATTTTAATGTTTATTTTTCAGAGAGAGAGCACTAGTGGGGGAGGGGCAAAGAGAGAGAGAGACACAGAATTCGAAGCAGGCTCCAGGCTCTGAGCTGTGTGCCCAGAGCCCTACGTGAGGCTTGAACTCCTGAACTGCGAGATCATGATCTGAGTGAAAGTCGAATGCTTAACCAACTGAACCACCCAGGTGCCCCCAAAATAATCACTTTTCTTAAAAAGTAGACATGTAAGATTTACAGTTTTGTCATCTGATTAATGTTGAGCATTTCGACTTATTTCATCTCACCACCTATTTAAATATACTTTAAGGGTACCTGGGTGGCTCAGTCGGTTAAGTGTCCGACTTCGGCTCAGGTCATGATCTCATGGTTCATGATTTTGAGCCCCGCATCAGGCTCTCTGCTGTCAGCACGGAGCACACTTTGGACCCTCTGTTCCCCTTCTCTCTGCAATTTCCCCTGCTCATTCTCTCAATATCTCTCTCTCAATAAATAAATATACTTCAAAAAAATAATAATAAATATACTTTAAACGCCTTTTTAAACATCCTTTTTTACTTTCCCTCACAAACTATAATAATACATTTATTTGTTAATAACACCTAAAGAGGACTTCTGAGAATTAATACTTGAAAACAACTTTGAGAATTCTGTTATTCTTCTAATTAATAATGATTAATATGATTTGTTAAATTGTAGGACTTACTAGATGAGCAATGACTATAACAAACAATTCATACACGAAGAAACCCAAATACTAAAACACATGGAAGAACTGTTAGCCTTGCAAATAATTAAAGAAATTAAACTTTGAGGTATTACATCATATCCAGTAAATTAACAAATATGAATAAAAAACATTAAATCCAGTGCTGATAGTGCTGTGAGGGAAATAAACACACTTAAAAATTATTAATGGCACTGAATTAGAATAATTTTTCTGAAAAGTAATCCAGCAAGAACTTAAAACTAATTATACTCTTTATCAACTAATTCAATTTTGGTGAAATCATCTCAAGAAAATATTTTAATTTTTTTTAACGTTTATTTATTTTTAAGAGAGAGAGAGACAGAACACTAGCAGGGCAGGGGCAGAGAGAGAGGGAGACAGAATCTGAAGCAGGCTCCAGGCTCTGAGCTGTCAGCACAGAGCCCGACACGGGGCTCGAACTCACAAACCGCAAGATCATGACCAGAACTGGGGTTGGACGCTTAACCAACTGAGCCACCCAGACGCCCCTCAAGAAAATATTAAAAAAAAAAAAAAAATCAATCTGTTGGCTTGGATTTACAACTGTATGTCTTTAAAGACTCAGAATTTAAAAGGACCTTAAAAATCTTTTGGTTCAACCTCATCATTTTGTTGGAGGAAATTAAAGTATAGAAAGGACTTGCCCAAAATAGCACTGCTCCATCAGTAGCAGAGCAGGACCTGAAACTCCTTATCCCAGATCTCTTGATACTGTAGTTGACCCTTGAACAATGCAGGGATTAGGGGTATCAGTGCCCCATGCAGCTGAAAGTCTGCATGTAACTTTTGAGTCCCCAAAACTTAACTACGAATAGCCTACTGTTGACCAGAAGCCTTACCAATAACATAAAGTCAATTAACACATATTTTGTATGTTATATGTGTTATATACTGTATTCTTATAATAAGATAAGCTAGGGAAAAGAAAATGTTCCTAAGAAAATCATAAGGGAAAATACATTTACAGTGCTGTACTTTAAAAATCTACAATAAACAGACCTGCACAGTTCAAACTGGTGTTCAAGGGTCAACTGCATACATATGCCATGTAGACTATTCCAGAGAAGCCGGAAAAAATGACCCAGAATTGACAAGGGTAAGCAGATCAACTTAGTGAGGCTATATGACACATTGTTCTTTCTAAACATCCTGATGGCCAGAACCAGTCCTAGA